CAAAAATTCATAAGATTTTAATGCATGGACCCAAAGCAATTTAACACGCCATATTGGTAATTTATCAGAAGAGGCAGCTTATTATTATATAGATATAGACCATAGATATTAAGTGTTTCACGATAAAATGATCACCCTGTATTATGTATATATTATTATACTAAGGCTAAGACTACGTCATATTCTATATATTTACATTACAGAGTGCAAAGATGGCATGCATAATAAAACAATTGTAATAGTTGTGTTTAAAATTTTTACGAACTTACTTTATGCGAAATTTATTTGTCAAACATTTTTATTTTGAATATGCATAATTTCGGATTTTAAAACGTTTTTCTAATAAGTGCTCTGATTATTCCAAACTGATCAACTATTTTAAATCCGTAAATATTTCGATTATTGAATTTAACACAAATATATATATATATACATACATATATCTATACGAGTAAAATGTTCTATATTTTGAAATATTGTACTGTTTTTTTAACGGTGAGTAATTTACAATTGTTCGTTTCGTGCGATGAAGTAAATAACTTAGTTAACAATCTAAATGCACTACTTAGTTTCCCTGTTTGGGGTAAAATGAATCATGTGATCGTGAAATACGAATTTGTTACCAACGAGATTACATATTTTTCCGGAAAAGATGTATTTATACCCATCGAAGAGCCAAACAGCCAAACAGAGCCTAACAACTATGTTAACGTCGACAACGTCAGTACAAAATATCATATGACTATCTTATTACTCGGGTGTGTGTATGTAAATACTGTCTTAGAGTTTATCACATTGATAAATCATATTTTAAATGAAAGCGTAAATGTAGTAAAAAATGAAAAGGATAGGATACGGAGTTTGAAGAACTATCAATCAAAGAAACATAACAATGGTAAAAGTAGTTCGTTTATAGAACTTAAATTTGACTATAGCAGATTCTGGGAAACCTTTAATTTTGCATTGAGTCAATTAAAAAAAGGTCGGCAAATGTTTGAGTGCATGTGCGACGCATTTAATATACTATCATTCAATAAATTAGGAAATACAGCAACATATTATCAGGACCTAAAAAAAGTCATTACTAGTGTGCTTGAAATAAAACGTATTGCAACAAATGTAAAGTATATACTTCCCGAATATAACAACGACTACCTAAAAAATGATGATGACAATATGGATGAATTTAGAAAAAAAATAAGTTTTTTTTTGAATTCCCATAAAAAACGTGCCTTGCTTCCTTTCTCATATCAATACTGCCATCGGCTAGAAAACTCAAATGAGCCAGCACTCTACCGAAATATAAGCTTAGAACAAGCTAGTACTCTAAATAACGTAAGCTCGCTAATTCAACATCATGTGAGCAATGCAATCCAGAAATACGTCATGGATTTAGGTTTGAAAGATGTAGGACAAGATACGGATATTGTTGATTTTCAAGGTAGGTGCAGTAGCGATAATTATTATTTGTAACATGCACAATTTTATAAATAACAATACAAAAATTTCCGAATGACATGTGAGATATAAACTGTTATCTTTCAGTATCATTATTAAAGCCTTATAGATGAATTCCATCAAAACGTCTCAAACAATAACTGCCTTCTTTTATCTTTTTTGAATACACGTACCTTTGTCTAAGTCCCCACTGGACTGTCAATGGGTGCACATGCAGATGCACATTGCACATACAAAAAAGAGGGATTGGCTTGAAATGAACGGGGGCTATGAGAACAAAAATATAGTTATAGATTTAAATAAATGTAGACAAAAAAGATAAATAACAAGTCAAATTAGTGGTTACTGGTTAATACAAAAAAGATTTTCTGAGTGAAAAATCCCGGTTATAGTGTTGTATGTGTATTAAAAATGCAAGGTGATTATTGAAAACTAGAAGTTTATTTGACGATTAAAAATTAAAACCATGTAAAAAAATGTTTGCTATGCACATTTAAAAATATTGCATGTATTTTGGTTACAATTATTTTTTTTTTTATAATATATTAATTTTAGTTTTGTTTTAGATCTAGAGGAAAAGAGCGTTGTCAATATATTAAACACAATCCTTAGCTACCCAGGTTGGAGGGAAATCAAATACCTGAAAGTAAAACATACGGGCCTTAAGAACGAAAACGACTTATTTTCGGGGAACGATTTGGTTCCACCGACGGAAGATCCAGATCGGTTGAATGTCAGTGAACAAAGTGTCAAAGCAAAATATTGGATGACCATTGAATTGCTGGGATGCGTTTATGCAAACACGGTCTTGGAGTTCTTTACGTTGATAAGTATAATTTTACAAGAAAGTGAAAATGAGGAGAAACAAGGAAAACAAAGAAAACAAAATTTAACGAAATACAAAAAAAAAATGCATGAAAAAAAAAGGAAAGTTAAATCTAGAGTCCTTGGTTATGATTACAGTAGCTACTGGGAAATATTTTCTTTTGCATTGAAAAAATTGAAAAATTATCACCTGATTTTTAATAGCATGCATAGCGCTTTATGTTTTCTATTCAAATTAAAAGATCAAGCTTTTATACAAAATTTACAAGCATATCTCTTGGAATATAAACTAAAACTTGTTGTAAGTAGTTTGCATCAAACCAAAATAGTCACATCAGATCTAAAACATGTACTTCCCGATTATGAAGACAATTGTCACTTGAAGGACGATGAAATGGTGGGTGTATTTAGTACATTGTTGAATAAATTTATTAACACTAAAATTAAAAGTGCCTTGGTTTCATTTACAAAAACATACTGTATAGTACAGGGTTTGCCAAATGCAAACATGTCAAACGAAAATAAATTTGATAATATCTTTGTCACTGGATCACTAATTACAGAACATATGAAACATTTTATAAAGAATTATGTCCTTGATTTGGGTTTAAAATACGACAAGACTATTCATAATATAACAGAAAACATATCAGACCTTCCATTTGTGGTTTGAATATGACGTGTCTATTATTTTAATTAAAGATTTATGAGACTATTCAAATTTTACCTATAATATGATTTTGATTTTATTAATTTTAATTGATTTTAAAATATACAGATAAGTGGTGTTATGTATGATAATGGCGACCGATTCTATACCCTCAGTAACTTTACTCTGTTGACGGCGGGAATTCCGCATAAGGTCGTTCAGCGTTTTTGTGTATAGACTATAGCACCGACTATTTGTTTAAATTAGCCTAATTATATAAAAGTATATAAAATACTAATTATTCTCCCTAGTTATGGCGAATGTTTGATAAAAAAATGACTTTCATAGAAGTCATTTTCCGGCGTACCCAGTGGACGGATATAAATTTTTATTTTTGTTATGTGAAGCTTACTATTTTTTCTATGGGGGTTAAAAGGCCGATTTTTTGTTTAGCAATTAGAAATTTAGTTAGACTTATTAGAAAAAAACTAATAAAAAAATAAATGCTTATACACTTTTTTTTAAAAACAAAAATAAAAAATCGGACTTTTAACCCCCATAGAAAATATGTTAAACTATATAATAAAAAAAATTTGAAATCTGTTCGGTAGACACTTTAGAAAGTGACTTCTTTCGCAATTTAATCTTTATCTGTAAAAACGCTTTCCGTTTCCTTAATAATAATTATTTATAATTGATGTTACTAAGGTTCACGTTTTTTTTCTATTACACTAGGTAGAGTAACTTTTAACACACAAATTGTAATCCAAAAAGTATAACTACATTTAACAAGATAAGGTTTTTTAGATTCAATTGGATTCACTTACGCATAGTTCCTAATTTATTAAAATTATTTGGTCATAATTTTGGTATAGAGACCCGTTTTAATTTTTTTTTTTATCGTTTTGAAATATTTTAGTAATATTATTGAAATATATCCCAAAAATAAATATCATGCAAATTTTCAACTTTATGTATCCCTATGGCTAAATACATTATTAAATAATTGGTTGTGGTACCATAGCATATCAAAATTTTCTAGTACCTATCTGTATTCAGACATTTATATTAATAAGGATAAAAATAACTAAAAACAATACACCAAACACAATAGTTTTTGTACTATATTATTTTGATACCCGTTGATATTTGCTTTTTGTTATTTTGTCAATAACACATTTTTTCAGGTTAGTCATAAACTATTATTCGAAGAAAAATATTTGTAAAGGCAGTCTGTTCTACACATGAAAATAAATCCAGCATTTTCAAGCTGCGGGTTTTTTAAAAAGAATTATACTAAAATAAAACGCTTATAATAAATATATATGTTTTGTTTCTCAGATTTATTTTAATTTATACAAGGCTAGGTTTTTGTTTAGATTCAGTGGATTCACTTATAAATGACGTAAAACATTTTAATTTCTATAACTTTTATCAAGACGATACAAAAATTAAGATATTTGTTTAGTGTTTCTAATTGACCAAATTCGTCATAGTCTTTAGTCATAATCGTGGTATAGAGACTTGTTTTCATCGTTTTGAAGTATTTCATGAATATTATTTAAATATTTCCCAAAATGAAATATCGTAACATATGTCAACCTTTTGTGTATTATATGAGTATATAATTATTAAATTATGTGTTAGCTTTAACGTGGAGCTGAGAAGTCATTGTTATTACTCACGATTTTTTTTTTAATTTCGGGATGGAATTAGAACAATAATTTAGTTCATAGACGAAATGATTAAATTTTGGTGACAATTTGATGATGTTTTTATTTAGTCTGGAATTTATTTGACAATAATTAAATGTGATCAATTCGATTTTGTGGAAGCCACTTGTTTCCAATAATTTGACAGCGTGTTTATAATTATTGGACATACGATATTTTCTTTACCGCTGAACTGATTTTTTCATGTAGCAAGTCTATACATTAATAATCGTACAAAAAAAGTACTGTACAAAGCTAAAAATGTCAAATATTTACCCCTTCACGTTTAAAATAAGAAAAATACACTAAAAACTATCGATAATTTTGTGCACTATCAAAATAAATTTCATAAAATATATATTTTATCATAGTTTTTTAATAATTAAAATTTAAATTATTCACAACTAGTAATATTCAAAATGTATTAATTAGAAAAACAACCACAACCACCGTTAGAAAAAAACTGTTCTTAACTAGCCAAACTTGTATGCCAAACAGAATGCACAATATTGAACGGTAACATTAAATTGATTTACACAATAATAGTTCCCTACTTCCCTTGTTATTCAAGTGCTTTCTAACAAGTGAGATTTTATTATATTGAGATTATTTTTGATAATATTTTTCAAACTATGTATTATGCATTAAAAAAATGCCTTAAAAATTAGTCCTGTAGATATTCGTCCATCGGCACTTTTTGGAAAAAGGCGGTGGCATAGCGTATGTACAATTGATCCAACATTTTCGTGAACGTGGGTTCTAAATATTTCAGCATCTCCATCCAATTTTGATTCATTAAATTGTTTACTGTATCACCTGTGACGAAACATAATAACTATTATTAATATACAGTATTTTATGCTTGCTTGTCAGATTTTTTAATATAAAAAATAAAACTGAGCAAAATCCTGTGGAGGATAATAGAATAATATAAGAGAACACCCTATACCCCCCAAAAAAATGTCTACTTAAAAAGACAGCTATACATTTTTATTGTCTTGGTTAAATTTGTTTTCCATTATCTATATTATGACATTTTCAGCTATAATATTAACTAAACTATACATAGGACCAACAATATAATGATATATTTTTACAAAAAAACTTCTGAATTTTAATTTATATATATTTGTATGTAGGTATATACAATGTTAATACAGTATCGTATTTTTAATGAATAAATTAACAGCTGAGTGGAAAAAGGATAAAATTCCAAAATTATTAATTATAATATATTATTATCAAAATTCAAAATTTGTAAAACTTATTAATATTTTGTATTTAATTGTTTATACATATTATACTCACCGAGGACTTTGTTTCCATTGAACAAGTTGTGAAAATTAAAACGCATTCTCGAAGTTGACATTGTCTTTGATAAATTTACAGGTTTCAAGAAATGTTTTCCGTTGCTCGTAATTTTTTGAAATTGTATCGTTATATTAGTTTTGTAGTTGTCTGAAATAAATATAAATATACGAGGAACAAATTAATGTATTTCAAGGAACTATACAAAGTGTTAATAAGTGTAAGTATTTTATTACCCATCGAAACTTCGCATCTTCCTTTTCCCGTCACCGGTAACTTGAATAAATATCCATTGACTTCATAAAAACCCTTATAGATAATATTGTCCTTTGCTTCTATGCCAATAAAGCATTTGTAGCTGTTCGGGTCAAAACTACAACATCATAATACTACAATTAAAACGATCCTAGTGTAATACAAAACACAAAAATCATACTTTATAGTGCTGATAGCAAAAGAACCTAAATTATACATATCTAAGTCTCTGAATTTGAAAACGATTTGAGATTGACCTTCACCATTAGAAACTTCCAGTGAGTGCATGCTCAACGGATCCAATGGGGGTAAACCAAGCCGGGGGACACCTTAAATAATGTAATGATTTTTTTTTATGAGCGTCTTAACACCAAAAAGTAACAAATAATAAACTTACCACGAGCTATATCGGTCATGGCTTCGTTTAAAGCTTTCCTGATGCATTGGTTTAGATTCGGATCACTTAAACGGCATGGTGTAAAATTTACTGGAAATCAACAAGTGTTTTTTGTGTTGTAAAATAGTTGAAAAACTATCGTTTATTTTTTATTCACTGAAAATTTACTTAACGCGTATTATGGTAAAAAAATGAAGTACACAAAAGTATTATATAGTCAAATAACCATATGTCCTACTTATTGCTAAAAAAAACCGTTTCTGCTAACTTAATAATTATAATCTAGTTACAATTTTTTTTTAGCACCAAAAATGTGTATCCCAAGAAGGCTCAAGGAAAAACAGTATCGAATGTATACTTATAAATTATAATATGTTATAATATTGAAAGTCACACGTCTTTTCTTATATTGGAATTTTTAAGTAAAGCTCAGAGTACAAAAGTTTTTATTAAATAACCCATTTGTTAGTATGTATTCAGAAATTTAATGTCATCACAATTAAAAAATATTTTCCCATTATGGTTCAACAAACAAAAAGTATTAAAAAGTGTTAGTATAGTAGTGTTTTACATATATATATATATATTTTTTTTTTACTTGTAATCTAATACTCACACAACATAGATGTTTCTTTTGCAATGATGATAGGAACTGCTAATGTCAATACAAAAAAAAAGCAGAGAAGTTTGATTGGTGTAGCTAACATTTTAATATTATCTTATTACGATTTTTTATGATTTTTATCATTAATTTCAAAAAGAATCTAAAAACGACGAAGCTAATAAGTTGACCATCAGTTACTGTGACCTACAAATTTAATTCTATTCGCTGGTACTAGCATACTTAAAAAGGAAATATGGTCCCCTTCCATTACAATAGACATTTCCATGCAAAGAATATGGTGAGAAACGAAAATTTTTTGTACATTGTTATAATATTCTTTGAAAAATATGTACGTCTAACCAAAAATAAAATAAATTATAAGCACAACTTTACAAGGTGAACAACTGTGCATTAATGCAATAATGTTAAATTCTGATTTAAATTACTCTGGTGTTCACCTATATTGGTAAAAATTCTCACTAATAATTATATAATTAAATGTATTTACTGTCGTGGTCAGTATAAAAGGTTAAGCTTGTAAAAAATAAAACGTCTAATTATAATTTAAGGGGCTCCATACAGACCATTTTTTCAGTCAAACATCATTTTTTGTCCATCGCACAGGCCGAACCAGTGATCCGATAAACAATCTAAAAATAGATTTGAATTTGTCATAAACTAATCGGATCACTGGTTTGGCTTGTGCGATGGAAAAAAAATGTGCTATTATGTTAACTAAAATGGCTTTTACTCATAGACAAAATTATTTAAATTAAAAATAATACCATGAAGCTTATACAAATTAACCGGTAAATTAATTGACATGGTCGAAATTTATTTAAACCACTTTTTTCTTAAATATTGCCTATACAAAACTCCTAAAAAAATGGTCTGTATGGAGCCCCCTTAACAAAAAAATATTTGAATAGTGTTGAAGTTCAAAGCGTGTAATAAGTTTTTTTTTAAATTTTCTTATAACGTTCATATGCAGCAAATATAACATGTAATTAAAATGATTTCAAAATTGATGACCTAAAAATCTTTAAATATGAATTTAAGAACAATGTATAAATTTCCTAAGAGATATGATAAAATTCCTGCGAACATGTTCTAAAAATAGACTAATAACTAATAATGACTTAGAATTATTTACAAATTTATAAAATGGTTTATATTTGTTTTATTTAAAAAAAAAAAACCATACCATAACTAGATTAATTAAATACTGGTAAAAATCAGTTTAAATTCAATAATGTGCTTAATAATTATATACTAGGTGCAAGTAAAAAGAGGTTAAGTCAACATTTTGTGCAAAATAAGTTATATACATAGCAAAATTCAGAAAAAATCCATCATTTGTGCTTTATAGTTAAAGTCAAAGTATGTTATTCAATGAATAATAAGTAATTTGTTGTTGAGTTAAGTAACTATTTTTCTCATTTTAGTGTATTTAAGTTGACTTAAATAGTTTTGAACCTTTATTTTAGTGATTAAAAGGGTATGTCTATTAAATGAGTTTTTATTTTTTTACATTTCCAAATTGCTTATAATATTGTTTAGTGTTTATTTACTAAAAATATTAAAAAACACTAAATGTATTAAACTAATAAAATATTATTATTATTAAAATGGCCTAACCCTTTTATTTAAAAACAGAAAGAGTAAATTCAACTAAATAAGATTTAAGACACTTTTTTTAAACTTATCACTGCTATTTTATTATTTATTTTTATGAATTGAAATTCGGGGAGGAAAGATTTTTTATTATCTTATTCAAAAAATATTTATCCTATCCTAATACACGATCTACCATTTCTTGAAAAGTTTATATTTGTTGACTTAATCTTTATTTCACGCGCATCCGCGGCATTATTTTGAGTATTAGGGTGGATAGGATCACGGTTTGTTGGTATTTCTAAAATAATTTGTTACCGCTGTTACCTTATCTCGCAATTAACTTAACAATGTAATGAAAATATTTTTCCGGTAGATTCTTGTTGACTGTTTATTCACTCACACATAGTGTGGCGTTCCTACGTACCTAATGTCATTGTTTTTAAATAATAATTACATAATGCAATTTATTATATGAATTCGCATTCGTATAATGACAGTATTAATTATATAATGAAAATGTATATTATATCAATATGTACGTCGCTTCGTCACTGTCATGTGAATTTAGCTTTTCCTTTGTCAAAATGCTAAGGCGGACCTACGTTCAGGGCGGATCCAGCAGACGTTTTCCAAGTCAGCTAGAAGACACTACCTCTACTCCAGCCAACTACAAAACTTTTTTTTTTCCTTTATTAATAAATACACAATCTGTTCCAACTTGGTACAATCAGAGTATAGGTTAAAATAATAGTATAACATGAAAAGAACATTATAAAAGAAGCCACCCATTGATGACACTTTTAATCTTCAAAACTTAAAATAAAAATTGTAAAAATTTGTATCCTTGAAAAATAATTTTAAAAGGGTTTGTTTAAATTTTGTTCAATAATAACAACTTTTTGGCAACATTGACCACTTCTGTATTGTTAATTATTTCAAAAGACAGCCCTGAAGACAAAATCCTTTCACCTCGGCTCGTAACAATAGTAATCCATACATTTACTACGGCCAAACATATTACTTTTTAAAAATATTCTTTTTTATACTTTTATAGTCAATAAATTTGCCCAATTTTAATGTATTTTCAAAAATAAAACCTCATTCCTTATGTGATAATAAGTTATGAACTTGAGATTTTTAAATGGTCAAGTATATAGTATTATTATTTACACATACTGGCATAATTCAAATACTTTTAATCCGATAAAAACCAATCAAATTTTATTTTTTTTTATTTTAACATTTTTACTGGTAAATATACATAATTTAATAAAAACTAATTTGAGTAATTGAAAAAACAAGTGCATAGAAATTAAATCTGTATTTTATATACAAATTTCATAGGAACACAATTTTGACTAGTAAATGTTGTGTTAAAAAGCCTACTCAAGTAAAAAAAAAAAAATATATATATAAATAATTATTAGAGGACTTGAAATGTAACATGTTCTGATGACCTAATAGGCCTATCATAACATATTTATATTTTTAACATTAAACAAATTTCAAAAAGAAAATGTATTAACATACACTATTCTAACGAAATTCCTATAAATCCTATTATAAGATAACGGTATAATTTGGTAATCGTTTACTCGGTATGAACTCATCAAAGAGCAACCGATACATCGTTGGAATCTTTGCTAAATGCTATCGGGTATAATAATATGTTATTCTGTTGGCCGTATTAATAATAATTATATGATTCATAGTTATTGCACTTTTACAGTCCCGTCTGCTATTATATCAATGTAAATCATAAACCATAGAACTACAGTGGAAAAACAATATTATAAAACGATGACAGAGTTGACCAATTAGTATCCGTTGATGGAAAACCGTTAACGATATGGTTTTAATTCCCTGTATCCGGTATAGAGTAAGAGGTCAGTACTCCTCGACGATTTGGATTGACTCCTAAATTTTCCCAATTAATCCAAGAAAGTCTAGCCGTTAAATCTGTAAAAAAAATAAAATAATATAATAGATAGTATACATCACTGTCGATACTAATGTACTGCGTGATACATATAGCGGTGCCACTACTGTCCATTCAAGTTTTGGATTGACCTCCATCCAAAATACCTATTTATCAGTCCACTTTTTTTTTGGCATGTTAGTCAAACCTTCCAACGGGAATTTACAACACAAAGGCATTAAAGCCCGTGGTAACTTTCGTAACCATTGGGTTCGCCTTACGGTTGTTCAAGTTAATGTAAAGTGTAGCCGGGCAAGTACTAGCTGTAATATTCTAAGACTGCTGTACATGTACTTACCGCTAGTGTTCCATTCGGCCCGTTCGGGTTGCCGTTCCCCGCTAAGACAGCGTTGGACGTACGTCAGAGGATCGCAGTCAGCCGACAATACTTCACGCAAAAGGGCTATGTAGGCGATGGCTAGCCGGAGAGTGTCGATTTTGCTCAGACGCTTCTCGTATGGAAACGTGGGGACGTGACCGCGGAGCTCGTCGAACGCCGAGTTGATGCTGCTAAACACCAACGATTCATTATAACACTTGATTTTAGCAAAAGAGATCAGCGAAATTCAAATATATTTTAATCTAATGAATACTTTAAACAACTAGAACACGTTGTATGGGAGCAAGTAAACTGGTTAAAGTGTAGGAACGAAAAAAAAACGTGAAAGGAAGTGCGGAAGAAACGTATGAATCATAAATATGTTTTATGGGACTCGTACACTCGTCTTAACCTCAATTGAAAGTTTCACAAGATTCACCTGATAACGATAAGTGATAAGAAATAAGGAAGTGTGTTTAAGATGAGTGAGAAGAAAGGATTACAATCGATAATAATGGTTGATGAGAAGGCAAGTCGGCCACGTTGATCAACGATGGTACAACATTTAAACTTACTGAAATTTAGTATGCAATTTTTAACCTCACAACCATAAAACACATTCATGTTCAAAAGCGTTTCTGTGATGACATCGTTGGGAGAAGATAAGGATGGGGAAGCAATGAGTAGTATATGAGAAAGGGACGGAAAGAGGAGTGGAAGGAAAAGTTTAAAGAATACGGGGAGAGAAAGAGAAGGGGACAGGATAGTGAAAAGTTTGTAAAGATGTAAGAGAAAATCAATAATACTCGGATAGGTAGATGACAAAAGAAACAAAATCAGCTGTTTACCCCTAGCCTAGTCTAGTAGTATACTTAAACTGAAGGGATGTTTGACTTACTATCAAGTTAAAAGTGTGACAAAAAAAGCTGCCTCTCTTATCTCTTACCCCCAAAACCCTCCCAAATTCACCGATCTGTTATACTTTCATTAAGTTATTTTCGTTTAAATAAAATATAAGATATTAATAACGATATATTTTTGTTGTAGTTCTTAGTTTAAGGAATAAAGCCAATGTATTTGGTACCCATATTAAATGTTGAACTATTTTATAGAAGTTGTTCTAATAATGTACGAATATTTATAAACATAATGCATATTGAATTTTAAGATTTATCTAAAAATTGTGTAAATTATATGACACACGGTAAATCGACTAAACAAGCGTTTCAATTTTTTTAACTAAAGAAATTAATTCGGATCAAATGTAACTCGATTTGATGTGAATTAAGATAATTTAGAAGTAAATTAATTTCAAGAAATAGACTAGAATTGATAACTTGTGTTAGAAATGGTTCATATGAATTAATAAGACCGAATTAACTGAAGATCAATTAACTACTGCATGCAAATATACTGAAACAAACGCCTTGAGTACCTATTAATTTATCAGTTTTAATCGTTCTTGAACAGCTGAACTACGATTATCATCATTCAAGGTCGTCGAAAAATAATTATTTAATTAGTTCCTCAAATAGAATAGTTTTCTCGGAGTTTAATTTTAGACATAAATATAAAATATGTTAATGCGCATTAACACAATACTGGGAAATCTTACAGAATTACATAATTTTTTATTAAAAAATTCAATACAGGCATTGAAAACATTACTAAACTAAAATTTACATTATTTACAATAGTTTCAACAAAATAATGTGTTAATGTAAAAATTAAATTGAAAGTAAACTGCCAACAGCTGGTATCTAAATAATATTTGTAATACATTATTTAAAATGATACCACGCCTATTGGTAACAACGGTAGTCGGTCACAAATTATTAGGAAAGACAGACTATCAACCATAATTGTATCCAGTATTCACCCTTGTAAAAAAAAAATCCAACCGTCTACATAGATTCGCATTAAAAGCGTTTTCTCTACAGTTATTTGATCACTTTCAGGTATAATAATTCTCCTTCTCGACCCCAATGATTCCAACCATATCCGGTCCTTCCCTGTCACCCACATTGCTGGCATTTCATTTTTTTTTTTTTTAATTAAAATATAAAAGCAGACGGATTTTGTCTGGACTGCGCGCTCGCCACGTGAGGGCCTTACATTTTGACCGGCGTGGGCCTATCCGCAGCTCGAGTTGGCGCCAGGTCTGACCTCAACATGCGTCTACGTTCCCGTATGTTGGCTGCCTGTCTCTGCACCCTATAACCACTACCACTACTGCCTCCTCCGTGAGCTTCCACGGCGTGATGATGATGACCGTGGCCGTGACCACTGCCGTTTCCGACATAAAAGCCGCTGTCGATCATATTGTGTCGAACCATGGATCCAGTCGACAGCAACGACGAGGATTCACCTAAAAAATAGTATTATATATTTAAAAAGTTAATCCATGAACATTAAAAAAACACTTAAAAAGATGGAAGAAAAAAATGAAACCCAGTACAATGACATCAAATATGCATAGTGATTAGTGGGAATCAGACGTATTGTTAAGGTCACAGGTATACAGAAATTACTAAAACAGAAAGTGATAAAACCACTTTCGAATAAACGGAAAAAATATTATATATCGATAAAAATAATCACAAACGCAGTATTATGCTTAAAATGTTAATTTGTGTTTACGATTCGGGTTGATAATCTGTCCATAACATTTTGCTGCCGTTGTTACTAATAAATCTTAATCAAAATTATAATGAAAATATGCTTCGGATACCTGTGGATTTATTCACCTAAAAATTGACTACGGTCAGAGTGTAATTTTCCTCTTTGATTTAGTTTTTTTCTCTGTAAAATAAAGTTTTAGTACGGATTTTTAAGAAAATTATATATGTTATAGTCCCATGCTAGATCTATCTTCAGCCAATTTTCAAGCCCTAAGTCTAAAATTTTGCTGAAAAAAAGAAAAGTTTTTTACCTTTCCTAGAGGAAGGGTTTATGAATTTTTTTTGGTTTATCAACGTTTAATTTAAAAATCAATAGAGTTCTAAAATATATTAAGAAAGCTAAATATTTGCTAATTGAATAATATTGTAAAATTAAAATTAAACAAAAATGTCTTCAGAAACAAAAACTCCAAAATTAAAATTATTGTAAGAAAAAATAACTGTCCTATCCTTAATTCTACCTGTAGATGTAGATTAGATTAGTTTGTAGCTCTTAAATCTATAACTTTCTACCTCTCCGGGATGGTGGGGTTATTGAAATTTGGTTCTGAGGCAATTTGCGCATGCATAATGTAGTGAACTAATCTAATTGGTTAAGGAGTTTACTTTTAAACTTTAGCCCACTAAAGTATCAATCACATACGATTTTAGACTTTCGCATCGAAGCTAAAGTGACAGTAGGTGCCATATCCAAGATAACTTGTCAGAAGTTATAAGCTAAAGCTAAAAAATTTAAAACGCTTTCTAAAACCCTTGCCCCTTACCTGTCTTTCTAAAAAATAAAACAGTTGGCAATCGAGTAACCAAACCATTAACCCACTGTTGTATTTATTTATTTAGTTTCAATTTAAATGTAAGAAAAAATCATTGCAAAGCAAATAATTAAAAAATTTAAAGCATTTATATGATTAAAGTAGTTTTACTGTAGGTTTTACCTTGTCGTATTGAAGATCCTATGAAGCACGACGAATGCGGGGAAGCTGAATGATGAACAGGCCGGTAAGTACAACTAGGAATTGGCAAATCTTCGGCGTCGCTACAGCTGTCGTCTTCTTGCTGTTGCTGTGTTTGACACGTATCGCTGGCCAACAAGAAATCTTGTGAAAATGTTGACGTTTTACTAAAAACAGTATAAATTAACTCATTGATACAAAGCCAACACAATCGTTCGGATTAAGTCATTGTGGGGATGTACCACATAAAATCGGGGATATCACGGATTTTCAGGAATTATTATAGCTGAAAGTGATAAAATCACTCCCTAATAACCGCTTGAGTTTAATTTTAGAATTTTTAGAAAATTGTATGTATTATAGATTCGCTTTTGATCTACCTTCAGTCTAGTTTGCAGACATTAAGTTCTGAACATAAAAGATCAAAATGCAGGAAAAGTATAGTTTTCATATTTTCCTTGGATTTAAAAAATAACATAAAAGTTTGATTATAGATTTTTGATAAAATTGTATACATTAATATATACATTATAAAAATATATTGTTAAACAAATAATAATATGAATTTTGGCTTGGTAACGTTTTTAATCTGGATTGAATAAATTAATTATATTATGTAATTTTGTTCTATGGCCTTGCGTTGATATAAGTAAGTTTTGAAACCAAAACTCAAAAAAATGTTTCAATACATTTCTTGAAATTAATTAAATTTCATTCCAAAATGACCTCGGTTCACGTTGAATTAAGTTATGTTTGAACCGAATTAATTCATTTCTTTAGTTAAAATAATTTAAACACTTGTTTAAACGATTTTTTGTAATATTGGGGTTTACCCAATTCGAAAAAAGTCATTCTTGTTGATATTCGGACTAAGATTAAACAATAAACTCCAGAGTAAAATAAAAAATCTAAGTAATTCTGTCATAACGCCCAATATTTTGTTTTTGATGTAACTAGTTTGTAACGTTTATCGACTGTACTTTAAATAATATTCCACACAAATGTTGAACTAATTAAGTTATTTAAAGAAAAAGATATGGCGCGACATAATTTTAAGTTGAGCAATATGTAAATTTTTTGCATGTTTTTTCAGAATCTAGACACAATAAAATGATTTTGTAAAAACAGCATTGTGAAAACAATCCCTTCTCAGCTTCGCATCGAAGTTAAAATCATTTATTATGTTTATATTACTAGATATCTATTAATTAGTCTGTGAAGAACACTCGAGATCTTTTATCATATCTGCGTGAGCAATGACAAGTTAAACTGACACTAATATATTAAAGGCTTTTTGGGGAACTTATTTCAGTCATATACACGAAATCAAAAACAGTCTATTTCAATGTATTATACAAACCATTATCTTTTGTAATACAGTTAATTATAGATATCGTTCGTTTTAAGATGATGTTCGCTGGAATACAATTAGAAGATAGTTCGGAGATTAAAAATGTAAATGTTTTTTTATAGAGGAACACAATTCTTAGATTTTAATTAAAATGCGAATTTGACTAAAAAACCAACAAACTCCCTATTGAGATTTTTTATTTTTTTGAAAACATTACCAAGTGATTTTGGGAACTCGAATTTGAATTAATATTATTTAAAAAAAATTTTATATAATAATACTTACTTGTAACAAAGCGATGACGACGAAGATGACGAATCGGCTTTGGTCGTGATTACATGGGCGCCACTTCTGAGCAAGTCCGGTGATTGCTGCTGATGCTGTTGGTGATGATGGTGATGGTGGTGATGGTGAAAACCGTAAATATTGTGCATGTCTGGTGACGAAGCCATGGAATTGTTCATAGTAGAGTAATGCTATTATAACGGACTGAACGTTGCACACCTGTGCATATAATATTAATTTCCGATTGTTCCAAAATTATTATAGTATAGTATAGATTATTATTATATTTTAAAAAAGAGTACCTATAAGGGTAACAGTCCAGAGTTGTCGTTCAACAGGAAGTGCTGATTCGACTGTTGGACATCGTTCGGCGCCGATCCGTTTCATCCCTTTCCAAAGGAGTCGAATCCTGTGGGCGGAGTCAATAAGGGTTGGGCGGCCAGTAAAATGGCCGACAACCCCCTCACCGCTGCACGTGAGAGCACAACCCCTATTTGCACGCAAGAAGTGTTCCTTACTGCATATAACGTGTGTTTTTATATTTTGCAGGTAAAATTCAACTTAGTTTAATCTTTTTTATTAGCTTAGAAGCGTAGCCGAGAATGTATTGTTGTTGCGATGATGTGTTGGCCTTTACTACCATTTTTGTGCCTAGATATCTTCTTAACCGCTGAACCGATTCCTTCATGTAGCAACTGAGTACATTTGAAATCGTACTCTGTTTGGCTCAAAATACAAAAAGTTCACCCATTCCCTTTCAAAATCGAGAAAAACATTTTAAAAAAAATTACAGATTTTTTAACTTAAAATAATTATAACTTTTTAAAAGTGGTTAAATAGTGTAAAATCGTATAAAATATTCGCTGATAAATTAAAAAACCTTTTCTCCCAGAAGAGGTAGAAATTTCTTCTTTGCTTCGGTTAGGTTAGGTCAGGTTTGGTTTTTTATTTCGTTTTAGTACTTTATGTCTACTAAGTAGACTGAAGGTAAATCTAGAGCGGGGCTAAAACACATACAATTTCCTAAATGATTAGTATTGTTTTTTTTTATTAAGGCAAAACCCAAAAAAAAGAGAAAATTTGGCCATAAACGTAAGTTAATTTCTTAGTTTCCATGTGATGGTAATTCAACGGGCTACACATACATGCAAAATTATTTTATTATATTGTTAATTACTATATAATATGGAAAACAGCGGCAACACATTATTATAAACGGGCCATCAATCCTAATCATATCGATTCTTTACTAAAAATACAATTTTAAGCACATTATTGTCATTATTATGCTTTAATCGATATTTTGTTATTTAAAACATATTATGCCAGCACAGTTATAATTAGTGCCTTAGATTTCTGTTGAATGTAGTTGCGATGATCCAAAAATAATTTTCAAAACTTTTAGTGCAAACGAAAATGGCAAAGTTTAATATTTATACTAATATTTTAAAATTATTAAATTTATTTTTAAGCTCTCATAGAAAGAACAATTTTTTTCAAAAAGGAAAAGAGTAAACTTTTTACATTTTTGACCCAATAAAGTGATTTTGGGAACTCGAATTTGAATTAACTAAGGTTTACATACGATTTCTGATCTACATACTTTCTATACGAAGGAATCGGTTAAGTGGGTTAGAAGATATCGTTGGTCCACACACACAAAACAAAATAATAAAAGCATATCCTTGTAAAAATAATGCCTGCTTAACTACTCATCGAAGTTAAAATGATTTATTTTTTAAAAAAGGTAATCATGATTTTTTCGACTGTTATGACGTTCCCTCCAAAATATCATTCTTTTTCAGCTCATTAAATTAATCTTAATTATTATTGTACCAAAACACTTACACAATAGTTTTAACGTGGACTTGAGATTTCTCAAAAAATTCCGAACTCCTTGTACTATAAACAATCACCAACATGTTTGCTCAAAAATTGGGATTTAGCCATTTAACAATTTCAACATTTATTTTTCTATTAAAATTTGTATGGATATATTTTGTTTGTAGCGTGTGCTTGCTAAACTCCGTTAATAGCCATAAAGTGATAATATGGAAAAACTGAAGGGGAGTATACCGATAACCCGAAAGAGCGGAGGAGATCATTTACGAGCTGGTGTGCTTTTGACATAAACTGTTTAACCGTATAAAATAAACTACCCCTGGCTCGGTGGATACTACGCAAGTCGCTCTGGGTATAGGGCGGCGGAAAGCCGAGGTCTCTCCTGCTGGCGAACCGACCTGTCAAGTGCACGCAGACCAATAGGATGCTGCTCGGTTTTGATCAATAACCGAAAGTCCCAGAATCCATTACCGTGGTTTAAACAATAATAATTTACTTTCCGAACTTCAATAACTCTTCTAAAATGACCATGGGAAATAGTTTTTGAGTTTGAAGTGTTTTTGTCATTTTTTACTTAAGATTCGACTAGTTATGTTTATCTGATTCCAGGTTAGAGATTACTTTTTTAATTTTTAAATATTAGTTTCGGTGTGCAGCTGAAAAGTTACTGTCTTTACAATTATGTGTTTTCTTTTGTGTGTGTGTGTGTCTGGACTCGAGATATTATATTCTAACCGCTAAACTAATCCCTCCAAGCAGCAAATCTTCACTAAAAGATAGTTTATTGAACCGACATTTTTAAAAAAGTCCAATGCTTCTCCTTTAAAATCGAGGAAATTAACATATTTTTCATTTTTACAAATAAATCTGTAGTCAACCTTTTTTTTTTATCCAGGAAAATCTCCCAAAAAAATAAGACGATTGCATTTTGACCGTAGTATATTTCTAGGTTTATTTAGGTTAACGGTTTTACCGAGTAATAGGAAACACAGATGACCGATTCGAAAGGTATCTCTAATACCGAAAATAAAATGTTGAGGAAATAAATGCCTCTACAATGATTTTCACTGATGTTTTATGTTTCGCATCGATGCTTCTTTTTAGAGTGATTTCATCATGTTTAGTTAGGTATAATAGTTTCTACAGTCTTGTGTCTAGCCCAACTTTATTATGCTCCGGCTTCATTGTGGGGGGTTGGTTTCTTTAGATAGAAATTATATCAAAATTTGGCTTTCTCTTAAATTAATGCGTTCTCTTTTTGAATTTTAAAACTACTCTTTGATAAACCATAGCGTTCCGAATTTCAAAGTTAAAAAATGCGTTAATGTTCACAATGTTTTTTTTTCGATTTTGACGAGGAAATGGTTTAAACTTTGGCCTTATCAAAATGTATCTTTGACGATACCTCCAAACGTTTTGCACGTCAAATGGAAATTTAAATCAACGTATATAACCTCAATACCTTCTTAGCTCCGCATTAAAGCTTTAAAAAACTAACAACGCCAATTGAATTCCCAATTTTTTGTTTAAAAATTGCAAACAGCCGATGGTAATGGGCTGATATTCAGATTAGGACTACTATGAATACCGTTATCATTGCAGACCTGTGTCAATATAAAAGTACAGGGTTTAGCCTATTCTGTGAAATTCTGAATAGAATATTGAGCAACTATGAATTCGATTATTTTTTTTTACTTTAAAATCAAATCTAACAATCGTTACTCGTCCTCGTTATGTGGACGGTCCATGAATCCGTCTATTGTTCCCATCGATGGTCTTGGACAAGCCGCAATAATTAAATTACAAACGTCAAACTGCAAGCACCCTCCCCGTCCCCGGTCTTTTGGCAGTGTTTGCCGTTCTCACGTCGGCACCTCGGGTCTTCAGGTAGGTCGTTACTTACGGTCGGTCGAAGAAAACCCACTAGACATCACAACGGGAAGTGTAAATATTTGTTCGGGGGGTCCGGCGATGGGGTATTTTTATTTTTTTTTATCATTCAATTACCCGGCGATGAGTCCTGTGGGAACTCGGCGGTGCGGTTAATGGGCCGACACTAATTCCCCGGCCGTATCAATTGTCCTCGGCGGTCTTGTTCTAATTCGAAGCGTGCGCTCATCCGCGTATTATATACATAATAATATAACAACCCTCTACAAACACACACATACACACACAATGGTAAACACGAATAATCGGTGGCCGCCGCCGCCGCCGGTGTGGAGGGCAATCAGATTTTTGGCGATACAATATATTATATTGTGTGTGCACATACGTATGCACGGTTGCTGCCGGGGCCGCGACCGCAGCCCATTGTCGGGGGGTGCAAATGGAAAACCGCCAAGACCCTGTGCGGTGGTGGCTGATGTGTATAATATTGTGTGTACACAACCGGCTATAGGACACGGTCGGGAGAATAAAAACGGCACGCGCCCAAGTCGTCAGAGTCGTTATTGTGCACGGCAGACCTAGGATAAGGACGATTCATCTTCGAGTGCCGGTCGACACACACACACACACAAAACACATGATTTGTCACGTTGTTAAGTACATATGTTTCACGCGTGCGACTCAAAGCACACAAAAATCAGCAGCTCGAGTACTCGACAAACGACCAACCGATAGGAAAACAAAACTGTTTTCAAATAATAGTACGTTATTTCGAGTAATCCTCCGGAGTGTCACTGCAAAGTGATCAGGGTGATAGATTACTTGTTAAAAATATTATTTTTCATACTTAAACGCTGTTACGACAGAAACACTACGTTAGAAAAAGTTTCTACCCCTTCTGGAAAAAGGTTTATGATATTATAGCTTTGATGATGCGAAGCTGAGAAAGTATTGATATTACAATGATTTGTGTTTTTTTTGTGCCTGTTATCAACAAACCACGCATCTATAAAACCGAAATTCTATGCCATTGGTATTTTAGTGGGTCAAAAGTTGAAAAAAATAACTTCCCCAAAACTGAAAAAAACCGAAACAAAATTTGCCAGTTTTTTAGTTTTCAACTTATACTTGCAATAACTTAGTGATAGGTAGCTCCATTAGGTGCCCCTCTACTTCATGATATATTATTCTCTTTCTACTGTTCCCTAATTTACTGTTGTGCAGATTTGTATAAATATAGATATTCAATATAATAAAGAAAAAAAACAGCAAAAAACGGTGGAATCGAGTTTAAATTTTTACATCGGATAGAATATTTCTTAGGCGTGTCCCTATCCACAAATATCCTCTAATCCAAATTTCGATAACCCTCACCCGAGGCAGGGGGAGGTGTAAGGGCAGAAACAATTATACCACAGATAGATCTGGAATGTACTATAGAATTTTCGCAAAAATCTGTTGTCAATTTTTTTTTTACCCGTTTTTTGTGCATCCATACATGCATTTGTGCATCTTGGTAAGTATAAAAATGTATAGAACAATTCATTTTTAAAATTAGCAATTATTAATAAATTTTTGATTGAGAATAACATTGGTGTTTGTCTTTTGTTG